GAACAGTCATTATCCCTTTAAGGACAGCTCCATTTGTAAAATATTCATGTTTGCTTCTTCACTGTGGTACGTCTTTTCTGACAAAAACTACATCTTGCCCCCCTATAATGGTTCCTTCCCTGTACAGTTCTGTCTTTTTGAAAATCTCTCTGATTTCTTTCAGACGTATTGGTGTGCCAGGACCTCCACCGTGAACTGCATATTCTATTGTCCACACATCCACGGTGACGTGGTCCCATGGAAACCCTTTGAGGATTTCTATTTCGGCACCCTCCACATCCAAGGTAAAGTAGTCCACGTGCGTCCTGCCAATGGCGGCTAGGATGGAGCGAATGGGGAAACATTGTATGCGACTTTTCCCTTGTATTATGCCTCGTTCCGCCTTAGGAATTGTATGGCTGTATTCTTGTATTCCTCCAATCCCCCATGCGAACTGAAAATCGACCATTACAGGACTGCTGCCAGTTGATAAGCATGTATTAATAGTGTAACTTTTCCTAGAAAGAAGTGAAAATAAGACATAAGCATACAATCCAGAAAAAGAGTAAATAAACCAACATTTTCTGAATCATGTGATATATATGTTCAAATTCAGCAAAACGTATATATTGATCAGTTAATGTTATAATTTTAAATTTTGAATACACATTCATATTGATGATAAGTATAGAATTTAGATAAAGTGTGGAGAGCTGCATGCCAAAATCATAATGACGTAAATTTAAAGCTCCATCGTACAATTTATTATTAATAAAAAACTTTGTGACATTCTATCACATTTGTTAATCTGTCCAGACTGATATCTTCTTTTAGCACTATTGGAAAAAAAAGTATGTATGAGAAAATAATAATTTGCATTTAAAGTGCATTTGATTAAAAATGAATTTGGTTCAACTAGAAGCAAGAACAACTGACATATTATCAAAGTACATGTATCATTGTTATACATAACTTAAAAAGACAATATCTATCTTGTGTCAAGTGACTCAAGTCGTAAAATATCCTTACCTGTTTTTGCTCAAAAGAGCTTCAAAGGCCCACGGGTTAGGCTCAACAAGTAATCCTTCCCAGTCTCGCGATTTCTCAAAGAAGAGGGAATTGGAATGAGCCTCACCATTTAATGCTCCACATTCCACAAAGAACCCTTTGCGGCGTTGCTTCAGAATATTATCGACCACTTTTGATTGTCCTAATTGATTCCAGTAAGTTGCCTTTGGGTTGGTAAGATTATAGGATAGACTGGAAGGAGGGAGAACCCATTTCCCTCTCAAGTACTCTAAAAGGTCTTCATTGACAGGGTCTATGTTTCCGGTTCCAAGACGTTTGATAAATTCTGTAGTCATGAAGTTTTTGTGCGGCACTTCTTTTTTAGAATTACGCCAGAGGTTTGATAACTGATCCACTTTCACCTCACAAACTGGATGATAAATAATCATTGAAATACAAAAAACTATAATGATAACAGCAGGAACAGCATATGTCCATTTGTTCATCGTCATCATGTTTGACTAACTTTCCGTGATGTCCGTGCTGTTTGTTTATTTCTAAGGTCAACTGAAAATAAATCAGAAAAAAAAACATTTGATTAAATAATGCAGGGTGGGTGATCAAAAAAAAAAAAAAAAAAAAAAAAAAATATATATATATATATATATATATATATATATATAGCTTGGAGGATTAAAGCCAAACACTGCTATTAACCCAAACAATTTGAAAGTCATTTTGACAAGCTCTTAATAAAAAAAATTGTTTTCTTTTAAACCTGATAACTATAAGTTACTGATCAAAAGATTAGCACGTGTGCTTCTCAGTTGCGGATAGAAACACTTTCTAAATAACTATTCAATTGTTTATTGCATACATTGGGCAACGTTGAAAATGTTTGCAGTCCCCTGCAAAATATTTAAGTTATTGCAGCCCCCTTTGCAGTCTCCTGCAAAATGTTGAAGTTATTGCAGCCTCCTTTGCAGTCCCCTGCAAAATATTTAAATTATTGCAGCCCCATTTGCAGTCTCCTGCAAATATGTTTCAGTAGCCCCCTTTGCAGTCTCCTGCAAAAATGTTTAAGTTATTGCAGCGCCCTTTGCAGTCTGCCTGCTCAAGGAGACTGCACACTGGAGCCCCAGACTGCAAAAGGATAGTCTCCCTGGCAGTCTCTCTGGCAGCCTGGGCTCCCGTGGGCAGACGGGGCTCCCATTCTAGCTGGGATTATATAATTAAACATTTTCACGAATCATGTAGATTTGGAAGGGTAAATCGCGATATCATGTTGATGAATTTAGCGTTACAGGAATTTGTTCTAGAACGTCCCAAACTTTGCATCATGATTGTAAGGAGATCACTCACTGGAGATGAATTTAATTCAACAAACTCTTCAAACAAGGAAGGTCGAAAAGTGGAAATGTGAGTAGTTCGCTAGTTTCTGGTTCAATTCGTATATCATTGCCATAGTCTCTGTCGCGGGAAACCAATCAGAATGGCTAAATATCTCTAAGCAGATGATTCCTGTCATACAACACACGAAATAAATCATTCTGGTAATGTTATAAATTCTTTGCATTCCTGCAAGTATGGCAATTTTGATGAATGGTGATAGTTTTCAATTCCTCGTGATTGGTGATTGCATGACCTGAATATATCTTCGTGATTGGTGATTGACCTGTTTTAATTCTTCGTGACTGGTGATTAAGGGGGGGGGGGTATTCCCTACCCTCTTACATGGTGTCATGGAAGAGGTGCGCATGATTTTTGTACAGCTATATGGTTGTTTTGGCTCTTTAGATATGACCAAAGGCCCAGCATATTTGCTACTTGCAAAGCAGATCTTAGGTCTCTCCTTCAATGCTCTTCATTTCTATACTTTATGAGCTTTACCCTTAGCAAAATATCAGGCCAGTTGCAAATTTGCTGCAATATTGCTGCAAATCTGCTGCAAATTGCAATTCCTTCTTGCCAGTTTGCTGCAATATGCTGCAAATTAGCAGCAATAAAATTTTTGCAATCTCCTACAAACATTATTTCAAGTGCATACTAGGCTTAATGATGTGGGACAAAATAAATTCCTAAACAGCAAAATGCATATAGTTGTGGCAACCATTTTGGACTTAAAAAGCATCTAAATTCCATCTGTATTCCCAAATATAAATTGTGACTAAAACACCAATGTAATAAATGAAACTAGTATCTTTTGTATAATTCAATAAATGTTGTTTGAAGTTTCAATAAAATATGACTTTACCTTTGATTCCATGAAGTGAAATTTGCATGGAATCAGAATTATTTTTGTGCAAAACCTTTGAGCT